TCTAAGTTATAGCTATAACAGTTATATAATTATAACATTTGATTTGTCTTTTTATGCAGTGATAATTTGTTACAATTATCTATGATGACCCATTAAAATTAAACTAAAATGTTGTCTTTGGTGCAGAATACCAGGTTAAGGATGGGCCTGTTTTCATGGCAGGTGTTTACCGGTGATTATAAGGAGCCTTGTTAAGAAATGAGAACTACTGTATAGCTTTATAAACCCTTACCATAGTAAATCATTTTATTATAGACAATGTAATAATGGAGCACAACAAAGTATAGAGAGGACACAGGGAGATTAATAAATGCAAAGAAATGTTAAAAAAAGAACAGTAAAAATAAAGTATAGCAAAATTATAAGAAAGGAAAAGAACTACATTTCAATTTTAAAATCTTATTTTTAGAAGAGAAAAATACTACACATAATATAAAAAGTAACTTTTCTACTGTATATTGTGTGTCTGTAACACAATATGTAGCTACAGTATATACTGTACCTATTATGTGAACATCAACAACATAAAATGTAATCAGGTTAATGTAAAATGATTTCACTTCTCACATTGTAGTCATTGATTTTCATTGTCCCTCACCTACAGTATACTGAGATGACACACAAATTAGCTGAGTGGCAGGTGTTCTAGTCTGATGCCAGAGGTTGTCCTCTGCTGCTTCTTTCAATACTGGGTGTGATATACCGAAAAACATGATTGTACCCCATTTCATGCCTGCGAATTAGGAAATATAGCATTTTATGGAAGAATCCATCCATCAACTTTATCACATTTCACAATACAGAAAAACCTATTTTGTGAGAACATACTTGCACAGCTATGGTCTACATTGATTTCAAATAACTCATCAACAACTTGATGTATCATCACTTACCAACATAAGAAATAATAAAATATTGTTCCTCTGTCATTGATTACATACCGTGCTAGTTTTGTATGAATGGAGTATTAAGATTATTTTAACATTGAAAACATGAAGTTAAATGTGATAATAATGAACTTTTATCATTTAATTACAATAAAATGAGATATACTAGTAACACCACTACCGACTAAATGTTGTCATTATTTAATCAATTACTTGTATATAAGATAATATTGTAATAGAACAATTATATGATTGTGAACTTGAATTGAAAGACTACGATTTCAAAATGAGATTACGATTGTGACTGTGTATGTCAGGAAGTATTACATTGAGGTTTATTTGTATTTTAGTGGGGTGTGTTTCTGGGGGCTGATGTAATTAATCTGGGATTTAGGACCCATTCCAGAACTATTTTGAGTTGGCTTGGGATGTATACTGGACCAGAACAGACGAAACACTTTTACTGTTATTTAGCTCTCTATTAGTTTTTCTTGTGAAAAAAAATCAAGAATCTCATTTTTGCCTTTTCATCTTTATCACTACTGGCCAAACTCTCCTAAACGGCATCTGAGAAATAACCATGAATGGCACAGCAAATATACAGTAATAGTCTTTTACAACAGCAGATCACAGATCCATTTCCAAAAAAAGATCCCTTCTTTTTTTATCAGGAACCCCAGGATGGGAGTTTCCCATTCATGCCAAACACTGGCTGATCATTTTACTACCACTGCTGACTCCATCTATATTGTGTTCTTGTGTTATTCGCACACTCACAACACACAGTCATAAGCCCATCCTGCTGTCACAAGAGAAGGTGACAAGAATAACCCCTGCTATGGTAAAGAGAAAGCTTTTCAAGTTCTTATGGAGGATTTACTTTTTGAAGACTGTCATAAAGGAAAATAATGCTGCATATATAGATCTGTACAGGTCAAAGCCTTTTGCTACAACTGTATGCAGATTGCATAATCAAAGGACAATCATGAAACAAGGGTATTGTTTCATGATTGGCAGGTATTGTGTGAGGTGGTTTTCTGTTCCTCTGCCTTTTTGTTTTCTCTGTTTAGCTGTTATCATTCCCATGTATGGTCGACACCCCAGAGTTGTCAAACCCTGTCTGTGTCAGTTGATGGCACTTAGCATAAACAATGAGAACATCTCTGCTCTTGTCCTTATCAAATTTCCTGACTGTGTGGAAACACCTCATCAACCAATTTGTGACAGCAGCTAATGCTGCAGCCACACAGAGTAGACTTTGGTCTTTTCAGACCTTTACAGACAAATTCGTCAACACATTTCATGGCTATATTTTCATTCTCTGGGATGACCTACATTGGCATAACACTGTGGTTCTCAAACTATGGTAGTGTACATGTACCACTTGTGGTAAGCAGAGCGCTCCCAGAGTGCCCCCAGACCCTGGAAATTTGTTGTGTGCACAAAAAAATTGGGACGGGATTTCATATTTTCTATTTTAATAAAATTAGTTTATGTGTCAAATATGCAGCCTACGTACAACGATACAGCGTTTGCTAATACTTGAGTGGATACAAGAGCTACTGTGTAATTCTATACCATTGTATAGGAATGCATCCTACGAATGCAAGTGAACATTTGTATTTAAAAAAGTTATCTCCAGTAAATAGGGAGGTACAGTAGGAGAATGTGCGTGATTTTGGAACAATGGCAATCTTGTAAGCACAGGAAAGCATAGAAATGTGTGTTCCGAACGTAAGTGACGAATTGTATTAAAAAAAAAGTTATCTTCTGCAAAAAGGGAGGTAGGAGAATGTGCATGGCTTTGGAACACTGGCAATCTTGTGAGCACAGGAAAGCGTGATAGATAACAGAAAAATATTTAATGACTGTTCTAGGTTAATTTGGGAAAAATACACCAAGCGTCTCTGTGTTTCACTTCTGAATGAATCATATTTCAGCTTCTGAATGAATTTATCGAAGAGAATGGCATCAACTGGATAAAATGCATCAGAGTTTGTACAGAGGGTGCTAGAGTGATGACAAGCTGTCACATCGGTGTACTGTAGTTGCATGAATTAGAGGTTGTTCCAGATATGAAGTGGACGTACTGCAGCGTTCACAACGAGGCCTTGGCCGTCAAAAAAAATTCCTGAGGATGTAAAATCTGTTCGACTCTGTTTTAAATTGTATTAAGACTCGACCAATGAAGTGACATCTGCTTTGCTTGACTAAACAGGCTCACCCCTCTCACTGAAATGGTGCTTTTTTATTGTTTATTTTAATTGTTGTTGTTCCTGTGGTCATTCTGTAAAGCTCTTTGAGAAGCCACCTTTAAAGGCGCTTTATCACATTAAGTTTATTATTATTATATTTATTATATGTGTGTGTGCGGGTGTTCATGTTGGTCATTGAGATTTTCTGATTTTTCTGTGAAGATGACTTGTGGGTGGTACTTAGATGCTTTGATTTGAATGGGGATGGTGCTTGTCCAAAAAGTTTGAGAACCACAGATTTCAGTTGAGTAGCTCGAAAATCCAAAAGGAAGGTGTTTGTTTGCTCACAGGTTTTGTTTCCCTGACATTAATGTTAAAGATTTTTATGAGTCTGCAAAGGTCTCCTGATATAAGTTTTGTTTAGTTTGAAGCTACTGTAACTATGAACAATCTTACGCACCTTGTAATATATATTGTATTTGCTGAGATATAAGTCTGGCTGTTAGAAATAAACCATGTGAGTTTGAATGTTCACACCATTAAAAGAACCCTGTACTTTGGGAACCCCCAGACTATAAAATATATTTTTTTAAAATCTTCATGCTTTAAACAAAACAAGTGACATTATTGATAACAAAGCACAATTCTTCACTTATTGATGCCATCTATCTAATTAATAAATATAATACATTCCAAATGTAACCATGATCCTGCAGTGACCTTGCCTTGACAGTGAAATTGTAACAGTATTTACTGTATATGTGTCACTGAATGCTATAAATTTGTACACAGGTTGCGGGTCTGGCAAAAGAAAATCTCTATATTCCCTTGGTACTGTAATATAATGGTTTCCCCTGCTAGCTTTATTTTGTTTTTGAAAAATCTTAATGCACATGTACCCCTCCTGACAGAATGGCCATATTAAATAACCTCATAGGTTAAAAATGCAAGGCTTCAATAACAGTATTACTCACAGTGGGCCATAGTGTATTCATAAGAAATTCAGTATACACACTGTATTGCATATAAATGCTTCAACAAATAACAGGAGACAGGTAGTAAGGCTGCTCTAGACCTAGGATTAAAATACTTTATTACACTGTTCTTGACACAGCAATCATATCACTAGGAAATCCATGTGTGGGGTGAAATTAAATTCCTTTCATTTCAAATAAGAATGGTGTTGAAGTATGGGTAATGTATCTGTATAAATTACTTTTTTTGTTAATAAAATGTCTACATATATTGATCCATTTATGATTTTTTGAAGATTTTAATAAATGGATTTCAGAAGAGCCTCTGCATGCCCTGTGAATGTGGAAACTGCATTGTTGAGAAATGAACAATGTTGACTAGAAGGAATATTTCCCCACGGGTGACAAACTCAATGTGAAAAGGCTCTGTACTGCCTTGTTGTAGCTGAAGTTTCTGTCCATGTTGGCCCACATACATCTTTTGCTGGACAATGATAATGTCAGTGCCCTCTGTAAATGTCCTGTACCTCTGTTGTCCACAGAAATATGTGATTTATGGTCTCATTTACTGTACGCTGTGCCATATTCATTGCTCCACTGTGAATTGTTTTCATGATACATTTGTTCAAACAGGCCAACTAACATTATTTGCACCTCTCACACCTTTTCTTGAAAAAAAAGGAACATGTAAGAGGTTAATTTCACATGGAAAAGTGAAAATTGAGAAGACAAGAAACACAATGTTTCAGCTCTGGGGACTTCTCCACAGGTTTGTGAAAAGTATACAGCCCTTCTGGGATCAGTACAAAAGGTTATGCTGTGGTGATGTGGGTGATGGATCACGAAAGAGTGAGTTACTGTATTACAAATGTGTTGCTACATTAATAATGCACATGCAGAAAGTGAGCTTCTCAGCAGAAAAGACATGGAAATCCATCTCCTACCTGGAATGCTGTTTGACTGTTGTAGTTTTTTATTTCTTTATTCGCACCACGAAACAGAAGAACCCTTGCACAGCTATCCTGGAAAAGATCAGAAATAATAATAAAAAAACAAAAACAGAAAATTGAAATTAATGATAAATGTCCATTTAATTTGTAAAACACTACTGTAATTAAATGAAGGATAATAATTGCTTCACATGGTAGAACTCAAAGATAGTGTTATGTTATGGAGCTTTGTAGTATCATCCTGTCTTCAATATACTGTACAGTATACAAAACAGACAATGCTCATTCCCTGACATGGGTCATTTTTTCCCCTCCTGAATGAGTGAACTGTACTAAATATTTATAAATGCACTGTACTAAATATTTATGTTGACATTATTCTGAAAACATCATCCTTTATTCATCCTTCATATTGATTACTTAGACCAAGACTGCACTACACACAAGAATTTCCCAAAAGCCTGTGTTCATACAGCAGAATGAATCTCATCTCCAGAACACCACTGTGCTCATTTCCAAAGTGACATCTTATAATTACTCAAGTTTTTTATTCAACTTTTAGAAATCCTACTTAAACACATGATGGCATATATATAAAAAAAGGAATTATAAAAAGTTAAGCAATTTTCTGGTGGAAACGTAGTGCATTCTCTCAGCATTACCCATTGGTACCATAACAAATATTGTCAACTAAAATAACTCTTTGAAAAATAATGAGAACATAAAAGATCCATTATTTGTGACCTCCCACTCCATAACATTCAGGTCTAAACACTGGATAGGTATTACTATTTATGGAATATAAACAACTTGATAAGAATTCAATAGCTGATATATTGGTGACTGCACGTTGTTTTCTAAAGTATGCCAATAAAGTAAGATTCTGTTGCTTAAATGCTCATCGTATTTAATTTATTTCTGTTTTACCACCATATTAAGATTCCATACACTACAATCCTTTATTTTATTATCTTAAAAAAACAATATTCCTTTTTTATGTAATTTTTAAAATAAACTTATCCAACTCAAGTATATTCATCTCAGTAAACATTTTGTATCTTTTTTGGGGAACAGCTCAAAAGCTGCTCACTGCTTAAACACTTTCCACACACACTCTCGACTTCTGCTGGAGAACCAATGGCCTTTTATAACAGACAGCTGTTGCACTTGGCAGTTCACATTCATCTATGGAGCAACCTGTTAGATAGCAGTTATCTATCTGTGATGAGTATTTTCCCCTTAGAGTATCAAAACTGAGATCCTTTACAATGCCTTGTAATTTTATTAATCAGTATGTCTATGGATTATGCGCAGTGGAAGAGGGCCACTATGTGCTGAATAACATAAGGAAACAGTGCAAGTATAGGATTTCAGTTTTCAAATCAGTCTAACTGGCAGCTTTACCCAATAGAACCACAATGAAACACACAAAGTACAATCAGTTTTACAAAATGTCAAGATAACTTAACACATAACATCTGCACTAGGGAACTGACCATTTATCAAACAGGCTTTCGTTTTCCAATGGTTTTATTGTCACAATAACAGAACGAATTGAATCTTTAGATCACCCTTGTCTTTACAAACACTGGTGAAAAGAATCTGGATTTAAGGACTATGTCAGTATTATCCTCTTTTTCTTTATAAAGACTCAGACAGTAACTTGATTACCAAAGTTGCATGTGAAAGACAAATGTGTGTTTAAACGGAGGATAATTCATGTTTGAAGTAAAAGGAGACAGGTTTTCCTGATACTCAGCTTCCTGTGCCTTTAATGAGTGTCTCTCATTTTGGCTGTTTGTGTCATGGCTGCCATAATTAACAGGAAGAGGCTCTGCTGGGACCAATTAAATCCAAAGTGCTGACTCTTGCTGGAACTCCATACATCTTCAGCATCAGAACAGAGGTACTCTCTTCAACACAGCTAAAGAAAACACTCTGCCTGGGCTTTAATTAATATGAGCCACTTGGCAGAGTAAGGCATTGTTTGTTGAGCAAACACTATTAAACTTGTGATTATATGAAAAATAAGATGCATGAAAATAAAACGTTTGCTTCAGACATTTGCCTCAATAGAAAACAAATCTCCTAACAGCACTATATAGATAATTATATGAGTGGCATTTTGATTTTTTCTTACAGAATGTAAGCAGAGACATTAAGGAAACTCCCTGCCCCCCTCAGCGTGATTTTCATTATAATTGAGGAGAATATTGCACCAGAAAAATGTTTATTTTTTTGGTCATCAATCTCCCAGTACACAACCACTTGGACTACATCATTTATATACCAAACTACATTTTTTGTGTTTAATCAGGTTTATGAATAGAATGTACTCAGACTGGTCTGGGCTGTGATAGATGTTTTTTCAAAAATACATTTTTTAATGGCATTCTGGAAAATTAGATCTTAACAAGCATTATGCGTCTGCTGTGGAAAATCCCTTAAAAATGCAGGGCCCAGTTTGTTGTGAGATATCATTACTAAAGTCAAGAATTTTAAGCCTTGGAAGTGAACTTCCATTACTGCAATAGCTGTGAACCTTTTGACTGATTTGTTTCTTTGAGATATACATTCAAAGATATATCAATTTTTTTAAACAGTAATATGCACCACTGACCAAGTATTGGTATGGCTGAAGAGGGTACTCTCAACTTGACATGGTTGTTGTGTTACTAGATGATGTGTTTCCCTTTATTATTTAGACATTAAATTATGTAGACATGATGACCTCCACAGGCTCCTACAGTATGTGGTGTCTACATAACACTTGGTGACTCCCATGTTTTATATTCACTCTGAAATTGAACTATGAAATACAAAAAAATATCTTGCCAGCCATCAACTCGCATGTGAATTGGAGGTGCTATTCTGAGTTTTCTATGAGACCATTCTTCAGACTGCATTCTTGGAAAACTAGGCTCTGATTCCTTCAGATCACCAGCAAGTGAAACTTTATCTTCTGTCTATTTTAATAAGATGAAACCCTTCTGAGTGCATTCCTGTAGCTGTTATTGTCACTATTACATATTAATTATTTTACCCACAGGTTTATTTTGGATGTTGAAAGTGCCTCATCTCAATAAATAGCTAACAACGTCTCATATATCACATTAGGGTATAGATTAAGACACACTTACACTTGTAACTGAGCACTTTCTGAGGTGGACAAGCAGATTGAGTTGAAAGTTAACAAGAAACATTTAATTAGATCTGGTAATTCAGTTTCAGTTAGATAACATTTCCCGAAAACATTGTCAGGTGTTCTGATTTTGTATAAGCATTAGCTGACATATGTAAAGACATTCACTTCTTCTTCACCATCTGCTCTTATTAACCAGACAATACATTGTTAAAAGGTAGTTATATAATACAGAATTTGACAAAGTCAACTTGAAGTTGCTCATATTGATAAAATATGACATTAAGGAGATTTTGTTTTAATTAATGTACATTATAACATTTCTTGTATTAGGAATTTATCTTTTTGCATACTCCAGCTTGCTCTCCATGAGACAGGGAGAGAAGGTTGGGGTCAGAGCACATGATCAGTCATTTATACAGTGCCCCTGGAGCAGTTGGGGTTAAGGGCCTTGCTAGGGGCCCAACAAATTAGGATTCCTCTGCCGGCCGAACCAGCAACCTTCCAGCCACAGGCGCAGATCCTTAGCCACAGCGCCACCACACCACCGAGGTTTTTTTTCCTTGTTACTATCATAACCTAGGCTAGTGAGGGGGGTCTTAATTCATAGGTTTCGGTTCTTTCACCTATGAAGACTAGTCAGCTCACAAAATCAAACACATGTTTAGTGTTACATTGCTGAGCGGTAAAGTGTATATGAAATGTAATTCTACTTTTTAAAAGTAGCTTGAAAAGTAAGAAAAGCATACATAAAAATAGAGCAAATGGACTATTAATGTCTGCATCAACACAAGGAATATGAAAGTGCTTGAAAATACCAGGTGTTTTAGACATTGTAGACCAAATATGGTCAATATAGTACTGTGTATAAAACATCAGGCTCCAATATCCATGTTATTGGAGATTATTCTGTACAATATTCTGTAAATATTTTGTAAATGTTATGAAAGGATGAGACTATAAAGGCTAATCTATTTTTGAAACTACATAAATAAGAGGAGCAAAATGGCTCTCCCATGTCTTTAAAATGTATCTTGTAACGATGGATTAATAAAAAAAATATTAGTTCATTTTACAATGTAATAAAAATGTAAAATTGATTGTGTAAACACAAGGATCTCTTATCAGTCTTCTTTCAATTTCCATACATGAGTCATAGTTTGAGAGCATGTAGCTGCTCGGTTTTCTCCATCAGAGTTAATCTTGCCATCCCCAGCTGGTCTGTATTGACTTTGGATTTCTGGTCCACTTGCCACTTTTTCCAAAACTTTCTACATTTCTGAATTTGTTTTCCGAGAGGGAACAACCAAGGTTTCTTCAAACAACTTAACATATTTTAGTTTCTCCCTGCTTGCAATTTAGTCAAATAAACTTTGGAAAGCGTTTCACCATGTTCCTTTTTAATGCTCATCTTTGAATTATTTCGTTTTCACTGCCAACATTACGGTAAAGAACTGTAATACATTGCATTTCCAAAAACATCAAACATTGACAATTAATAAAGGAGTGCAGGGATTGCAGGAATTTAAACCACTATTATAGTGATCTACAGTACTGTAACTTTCAGGTCAAACCATAAATATGATATTTTTCCTCACAAATCTAAGACACAGTACAATTGAGCGTCTTTAGAAGCAGTTACAATACAAGAGTCCAAGAAGCTTTGTGACTGTGGTACTTTTATCCTATAGGTGAGTTTATCTACACATATTTATGCTAATTATAGTTTCCTTTTTTTATTTGAAAAGCAGATGGATAAAATAATCTGACAAAATTTCAACTGGAATTTTGCCTAAACAGAACCTTAAACTAATCAAGTCATTCATAGCTCAACTGGAATGAAAACCAGAAAACATTATAGTTTAGACCAGTAGTCAAAATACTGTATGTAAGTCTATGAATACTTCATTAATCTAGACTTTCTGGTACA